TCATGCAATCTGTAGTCCTTGTGTCTGCAGGATGGTGTTCTGCTTTCAGTGGCCTTGATTAGCGCTGTGCAGAGGTCAATACAGGCGGAGGTGGTATTTATGTGCCACTTAGGCAAACCTAAATTTCTGGAAGGGATTTGTTTTGCACCACACTCCTTCTTACCCCAAACCTAAACAATTTGAAATTCAGTGGAATTGCTTTTATGACAGGGCTTTTCCAAGCAATATGTTCTCCTCTTCAGCAATGCCTTCTAGCTTTTTTTTTTAGCTTCCTGAAAACATTTTGAATTGAAAATGGAAGCAGTTGTTGTCACCTTTTTGTTTCATTTTTAGTTGTTTTTTGTTTTTCCTTTTTTATCTTCTGTAAAACTCAAAACTATTTAATGCCAGGTTTTACCCTACCCAGCCAAATAGCACTGGGAGGTTGTTTCTGCTTTTATTTAAAATCTATTGCACTGTTCCAGTAAAGCAGCAGTGCTTAGCCACTGATGATAAGTAGGCTGAATCAGTTCCTGAAAAATGTCCTATTTTAAAGTGCTTTCTGATTGATGTGGCACTTAAAAAAGGAAAGCCTGATGTCTTGTGCTTGTACTGCTTTGCTTACAAGGACGCTTGTGTGCCTGCCATGCAAAGCAAGCTGAGCCTGTGGAGAATTGAGCATGTCTGATCTATTCTTGGGGAATGAGTTGCTCCTATGCACATAAGTGCCCTTCTTCAGTTTGACATATGTTGTATGATTCACTGTTTGAATCTTTTTCTCAGGTTCAGGGCTGGCATCGTAAAGCCACATCCTGTGGTTTCTTGCTAGTCCCAGTCTTGGAAGGTCCATTTGCATTGCCCAGTTACTTGTATGGAGACCCACTTCGAGCTCAGTTGTTCATCCCACTCAATGTTAGCTGCTTGTTGAAGGAGGGTAGCGAGCATTTGTTTGATGGTAAGAAATACTTGTTTCTTGGGTTTGCCCCTTGATATGCTTTTCCTGCAAGTAGGTCTCTCCTGGCAGATATCTGATATGAAGAACCTCCTTTACCAGATACACATGAGCTGGAGGAAGGGCCTGTTTTTACATTTTAATAGCTGTTCTCAGGAAGGTGGTACTCAGGGGAAGCTGTGCGGGCAGGCTAATCAGCATGTAACAGTGTATGAAATTGGCAGCAAGAAGTTGGAAGGCACAGGAAAGGTTGCCTCCCCAGAGGTCAGTGTTGCCATAATGTTGCATACCCTTCACTAGCCTGTATCGAGTAGTTGTTCTGTTTGATATGATGTTATACTGTGAAAGTGCATTTTGCTGGTAGACACTGGCCAGAGCTGCTCTGCATTTGTACCCTGCATTTGTTTATTCTCCTCTGTGAGATTAGGCTTTCCCAACCACCATCCTCTTTACTGTTGCTATGGTTACATTCGTGGTAAGAGTGTTTGCACATGAGATTAAGAGCTAGAAACTGCAATCTCCTTTTCTGCAATGTGACCTTGCCCTTCTGCGTGATGCTGTTGTGGTAAGTCTCAGGTGGGATCTCAAAGATCAGAGAGCGCTGTGAGAAGAAACAATCAGTAAAAGGATTAAAAAAAAAAGATCATTTTATTCATTTTCATTAATCCTTTAATTCTTTATTTTCATAACCCAATGTCCAGGTGTAGATGTAAAACAAAACAACAACAAGCAGTGACAAATCCATGTTCTGTGAGGTCACTGTAGCCTCACTGAAGCATTTGCAGTGCACTTTGTGGTGATGCACAGTACCCCACTTGCCTTCTTTGCCCCATCCTATGGAACTCCCATTAAGTTCCCTTCCTTCATCTCTAGAGATACAAAAGCTAATTTCAGGGATGAATCTGCTATTGGTATATACAAGACATATCTCTAAGAAGCAGGCATTCAAGGGACAGCTAGCAGAAAACAAGTCAAACTAAAAAATTGCTAGCAAATACAAAGTGCACTAAGGTGTTCTGAAGAAAACTGAGGTTTTGAAAAAGAAAGAAATAAAATGGATTTACAAGGTAACTGTTATCTTTTGCTTCAGGCTTTGAACCAGAGACATACTGGGACCGTATGCACCTTCTCCAGGAAGCAATAGCATACAGGTATGTATGGAGCAGAATGACTGAAAGGTTCCTCTCTCCTTAGATAAGATAGAATGAGGATCTACGCTGAACTGTCACTCCTGGGTCACCTGGGCTCTATACAGTCTGCCTCTCTGCAGTCTGCTTGCCAGTTATTAGATTAAAATGTAACTAGAATGTCTGGAAGGGCCGCTGTAGGTACAGGAGACAGGCATATAGGGTTTCAGCCTGTCACCAGCAGACCATCTCTAGTCTTATGGAGGACGTTGGCTTTGAAAAGTGCCCTGTTCTTCTAAGTTAGAAGCAGATAGACTGCAAATAGGACAGGTAATTTCTTCATGTGTGTTTGACGTAGTCTTGAACTAGATGATGCCCAATAACTGACAAAAGACTGGGATATGAGCTGTACATAGAAGGTTGAGCACAATGAAAAAGGAATTATGGCAAGCTTTCAGCACTGTCTAGCCTTAACCCACTGCGCTTGAACTGCCAGTTTGTTTCACAGCGTTGCTACCAGGGTCTGTTTCATGATAGAGAGACTGCATTTTGTAATGGAGTTTAGTTTGGAAGTATGGATTCATGAGCTTAGAAAGCAGGAGAGGAAGAAATATTCTCCAAATAGCAAAGAACTGTCAGGTGAGCTGCTCAAAGTTCTGTATGTAATGTTTTCCAGCATGAACAAAATGGTGTTACAGTTTGAGATATATCCAAGGAATGTCTTTCTTCACTATTGCTCTTCCCTTATTTGTGTGCAGCTGCTTCATTTTGCCAGAGACTGCTCAATGCCCTCCCCAGCTGAGCTACAGGCTCTTGTTTCTGACCCCCATTAGGACAGTTGTGGAGTTACAAGTTTTCACATTGTACCTAGCAGAGGCAGAGAACGTTTGGAGAGGCTCAGCTCTCTTTCTTCCCTCTTGCCCTCAAGAGGGGAAATGGTGTAAAACTTTCTTTTGTGCTCCTGCCTTTGGCTGAAGGAATTATAGCTGGAGTGGCTCTCTTTATTTTATTTTTTCTTTATTGCCTTGGTTTCTTCAGATTCGGATTTGTGCAAGATAAATACTCAGCTTCTGCATTCAACTTTCCAGCTGAGAACAAGCCCCAGTATATTCATGTCACAGGTGAGCAATACTTGGCAGGCAATGGGGGCGAGGAGGAGGCTGTTATAAACAAAAGAACCATTTTACATGCACTTTGTGTTTTGTCAGTGACGTTTGTCCTCATTATGTCCCTAGTCAGAAGACAAGTAGCTGTATCAGCCAACACAAACCAGAAAACTGGCAAGATGGTATGAAAAGCACAAAGTGTTGCTGCTAATGAATGGCACTGGTTTGAAATCTTGCTTTATGGTGTCCCTGAAACTTTTTATTTCCAGGAGATGGAGAAATAATAAGTCAGTTTATTCCAACTGCAGTATAAACAAATGTGCATCCAGCATCTAGCAGCTAGTAGGGAAAGGGAATGGGAGAAGTCAGTGCTGTGCTCTTGAGCTTAAGGTCAGTTGTAGATGCCTCTCTACCTGTATGCATTGTGTGGGCAATGGATAAAGCATTTAGGATCCACTTGCTCATGTAATTTTTCTTTATAAATGTTGGTTTTCTGTCAGCACTTTTAACTGAACTACATGCATAGCGTATTACATTAAAATTACTACATCCAGAGGTGGTGTTGTGATATGAAGGCAATGATGAGAAAAGAGCATCTGGAAGATTACAGGAGAGAATGGGAATTGATGTAAGGTTAGAAAGATGGATCAGAGCATACCCCTTTGCTTCAGTTCCCTTCTACCAAGAGAAAGGCAAGACTAAGTGCTCTCTCCCACTGCTGTAATTTGCAGGAAGAAATAGCATGTGAAAGGAAAAATGTGTTCCATTTTATCTTGCTAAAAGGCAATGGCAGGGAACTCAATCCATTTTCCTTTTCAGAATGTAATATCAGCTACCAGTTATAGGGACTCAGGTCTGCTTAAGGCTAAAGTTCTGTCTGTTTCCTTCAGGGACGGTGTTTCTGCAGCTGCCATATTCAAAGCGGAAATTTTCTTGTGGGCAGCAGCGACGCCGGCGCAACTCCACTAGCTCCACCAACCAGAACATGTTTTGTGAAGAGCGCATTGGCTACAACTGGGCCTACAACACCATGCTGACAAAAACGTGGCGGTCCAGTGCCACTGGGGACGAGAAATTTGCTGATCGGTTGCTGAAAGACTTTACAGATTTTTGCTGGAACAAAGACAGTCGGCTTGTGTTGTTCTGGACTGACTGCCTAGATAAGATGCACGCTAGTGCTCCATGAAATAGAGTTGTATCTCTTAAGGAGACAGCTAGAAGCTTTACCTTGTGGCAAGGAAGTAGAGGGGGAGAATGACTGGAAAAGAGCCTCTCTGTTGGATTCATTTTGAGGCTCCAAGGGGACCTGATCAATATTGCTGTTGATATTCAACAGAATTTGATTAGGCCCTTGGAAAAAGAACCTGAGCTCTTGGCTTGCCAGTACCTATCACCTGACCTCAGCTTGGTATCAAGTAGCTGCTGTCTTTGATTGCCAAAACTTCCGTTAGAGCAGGGAGAGTGCAAATGGTTTTCAAGGGCAGTTAGATTCAGCACCATGTGGTGGTATCAGCTCGTCATCACTGGAAATGACGGGTGCTGTTTGCATCTGCCGTGCCTGACAGCAGCCTCTGTCTTTCCCTTTTGAGGTGTACCTGGTTGTGTGAATATGTATGATAAAATGTGAAGAGATGCCTGTTAAGTTTCATACATGTAAATAAGTAAAAATACAGAAAACCAAGTGACCTGATGTTTTGTTGTAACTCTAGACAGCAGGAGAGAACTGGGGAGTAAAGGAGAACATCACCAAAAGGAAATACTGCTTCTTAAGTCCTGCATGATAATGAAATGCTCAGAGTCCAGTGGTGGGACTTCGTCCTCTCCAGCGCAGGATGTAAAACAGGTGTCATACAGCAGGAGCAAGAAGCCGGTTACCAGCCTGCTAGGCCAAAGGAGAATTTACAGGCAACTGAGTGGAGGAAAGGGGGGATTCAGATTTTTTGAAGATGTCTGTATGCAGCAAAATGCAGATGCCTGCACTCAAGTATGCAGTCTTTGCCTTTGCAAAGAAAGCTAGCATACGTCCCATGGAGCCAGATATTGAAATGTGAATTGGGGGTGGGTTTGGGACCTGCGGCTGGCAGCACGGTGCGTGGGTGGTGGTTGATTCCTGCTGCACAGTGGTTGCTGCTGCTGGCTGTGCTCCTGGCTGTGCTCGCTGTAGCAGAGTCAGCAGAGGGCTGGCACATTCACACTGCTGTTCAGACCTGATTCAAGGAAAATCATGGCTGCTTCAGTTTTGGCTCATCTCGCGGAATGACTCATCTGTTATGAGATGGGACCCACCTAGAAAAGATGGGATTGAGTTGCATTCCTCTTTCAGTTCCTTTAAGTGTGTGAAAATTATCAGGGTATGTCTGAGCCCCATTAACATCTTATAAATAAATAAAAGGAAAAAGGAAAAAAAAAAAAGAAACCCTCCTATAAACATATCTTGCTGCCCTCTATTCTACCTCCGCTTCCCCATGAACACGTAGCCGTGCGTGCAGCCGTGGGCTTGTCAAAGCGAGTGCTGTGGGGGAGAGGGAGGTGGAGGGGGAGACCGTGGCTGGGGCCCTCGAGGTCAGCGGGGTCCTGGAGGCTCTCCCCGTCCCAGGTGAGCCTCCAGCTGCCTGCGGGGGGGAGGCTGGCGGTAGGGGAGGCTCCTCCGGCCCGGCCTGCAGGTAGTGGGCTCTGGCGCCTTGCAGCGGGAGGCAGAGGCCGCCACTTGCTCCCCAGCACCTCGGGAGGGCGCGGGGGTGGCCCTGCTCCTCGCCCTGCTCCTCGAGCTCGCAGGTACTTAACAGCTTTGCCTCCCTGGCCCAGAGGATGGGGGCACGGGGAGGCACCGTGCCGGTCTCCTTTCCCCCAGGAAAACAGGGTGAAAGCAGCCTCGATGGTCGGAGCTAGGCTGTGCTGTACTGCCTGGCCCTGTTTTGGAAAACACCCCGCTTTGTTTCCCCAGAATGGGTCCGGGCTTCAGCTAGTAGCAGTCTGTGCTCCCCGTTCAGCAGCTTGGATGGGGGAGCCAGATTTGAGAAGGGGGATCAGAGCAGGGACCTGGGGGCAGTGGAGAGCCAACAGCACCCCCAGCACCCCAGGGCCCCTGACCACATAAGCAAGAGCTGAGCAGGAGCAGCCCAGAGTCTGGCTTCCTACAGCCCTCCTGTACTGGCCTCCGAGAGGGTTTTGTTGTTTTATTTGTGTTGTGGATTTTTTATTTTTTTTTAACGCAGACCATAGGAGCTAAACATAAGAGAGAATAGTTTTTATCTAACCACAGTTTTCTGCATTGCATAGAAAAGGTTTCCAGCAGGACGTCAGGATGAAGCGGTTCATGGCCATGTTAAGCAGGAACAAACACAAGGATCCCCCACCCACCAAGCTGCTGGATCTAGCGGGGCAGCTTTGCCGGGACCTCCAGAGCTCATTCCCTAATCTGGAGAAGCTGGTTGGGGCCGTGATGAGATGCAAACAAAAGATGCATTTTCTCACTAACATCCACGTTGTCCGAGCTTGTGTGTTTGTTCACATCCGTAACGGGCAGCATGACACAGCCTGCAGGCTCCTGGAGGTAGGGATGTGTTCTTCCTAGCTTCATGGAAACGAAAAGCAGTGTCAGAAAAATAGGGTTTAGAACTGTTAGAATTGAACAGAGGTTCCCAATCTGCAGCGTGTGGAGCATTTTCAGCTGGTGTCCAGTAGTGGAAGGTGTGTGGATGGGTTGACCTGAAACCCAGGGTAAGGCCTCTGCTACAGGCAGTTACTATTAAACAGTCGAGGGGAAGAAAGTAACTGGGTTGTAGTTTGTGAAAGCAGGATTTTTTCCTGACTACTGTGATAGAGGCTTGTAACATACCGTTCTGATTTAGTGTTGCAGGGCAGAAGAGAAGGAGGAGCTGGTGCAACTTTGGCATGAGATTCACTACCATAGGATTATGGAGAAACACCACAGAGATTTTCTGACACCACTGCAGAAATTTCGTTGCAGGAAGAGGTACCATGGCATAGGAGAAAGCAAAGTTTTTCTTCTCTGCTGTAATATTTATGTGCAGATAGTAGAGATTCAGAGGCTGCACATCTCAAAATGACTGCATCTGGGAGCTGGGTTTTTCCTGGGGTTTTGACCTTATGGGGCAATGTAAGAATATTTCCCTTGAATATGAATGAATCTTTTGGGGTCCTTTCTTAGTCCTGTTTTCTTGTATGTACAGGAATCCTTATTTCCCTCTCTCTTGTGTACAGGAATCCTCCACCTATTTCCCTTTGTCCTGAGGGCTTGAAAAATCGAAACTATTCCAATGAAGTACGCCAGCAGCTGTACAAATTTGCTGCAGAAGTGACAACAAATCCAAACAAGAAACAACGGGTAAGGATATGCTTCTTCCAGACAAGTGTCCTTGTCACAGAAAAACAGCATTCTGTGATCAGGGGTCTATAGCTGGTTTCATTCTAGATCTGTTTTCAGAAGCCCAGTGGGGCTGGAATTCCCAATATTTGATCTTTCCCTAAAGGTTTACTTCAAAAAATTAGTAATAATAATAATAAAAATAAAAAATAGCAAATTAAGTTAATGCTAAGTAACTTTGCTTGCCTTGGACAAAAAGATTAGGGGAAATAAGTTCTTTGCTGGGCTTTTTAGCAGGTCTAATCTTGTACTGACTGAACATAGGCAGTGAACGATCGATCACTCAAAAGGGCTATATTATAGTGATATATAGTTCTGATTTGACTGGGTTGTAGCCTATACTGCAATTGCATTTTGCTTACCAGAATTATTTTGTACTGATTTATCACATTAAGCTCATAGAATTTGAAGACAGAAAAAAAAAAAAGGCACTGTTAATATATGCAGTTACCTACCTTATCTGAACAGGGACAGAGTTATAATTCAAGTGACCTGTGAATTTATTCAGTAACCCTTGTTTGTTACTGTTTTGCAATGTAAAAGCTTTAGTCTTTAATGTCTGCTCCTGTGGTGCTCAATTATTCCAATACCCTTCTTACATGATGCAGGATGAGCTGGTGAATAGTTCTGCAATGTGAAGATGGTTTATTTCATACCCTTTTCACAAAGTAGCAACAACTTCCAAATTTTCATTAAAAAATATAAATATGAACTGGGAGCATAATGAGATTGCCCTTCTAGAACTTAATAGTGCAGGTTATGATAATAACTTGTATGTTAATTTGCCAATACATTCTTCATTTATGTCATCTCATTATTTAACAAGTAGTTTAAGACAGCACAGTTTTATTTCTGTGAATGTGTTGCAGATGTTTATGCTGCTCAGGGTTTGTGAAAACTACTTAATGTGGTAAATGCATTAATGTTTATGCCATTAGTGTCGTGCAAGTGATGTGAAGCTGTCATTCTGTAGAAAGAGCATACTTTGCTGAGGTTTTATGCAGTATGTTGCGTGTTTAAATATAGCAATATAAAATAACAGTAAATGGTTTCCTTTAACAAACAGATTGTCTAGGGGAACAGGGTGAAATCTGTTTTCCAGCAACTCTTTTGAGTTTATAAATCTGCTTCCTTAATGGCATCCACATAGACTTATTGGAGACCTAGAGAACAAATGTCTCCAGTGGGTTTGAAAGCTCTTTTGTCTGGCTGCCTTTGGAACTGAAGGGAAAGGTCTCGTTATTTGGATGTAGTTTGTTCCTTTTTTTTCTTGATTCCCCCTACACCTGGGTTTGCAGGAGGGATTAGCTCAGGACATGAACCTGCAGCCAGCTCAGGTCTATAACTGGTTTGCAAATTATCGACGACGTCAAAAATCCCGCATCTGTCGTGAGGAAAAGCTTAACTACTTGTGCCCTGAGGGGACCTTGATGCACCATGCAAAGGATCAGCAGAATAGAGGATCCTACACTCCACAAACTGCAGGTTTGTCTCTTCTTAATGGACTTGGGATGTGGCCCAGAAAGCTGAAAAACAATTTTTAACTTCTTCAGGAAGAGAAGGATATTCCTTCTGCAGAAGCAGCATCTATATACTGAGGTATCAAGTGGCCACTGGAGAACTCTGCTTCAGTGGAGTGCCTCATCTCTTGGCTCGAGGCTGTCACTCTGTAGGAGGAGTGAGCTTTGACAGGCTTGTGCGAGGGCAGGTGAAAAGATATGCCATTCTCAGAAGGGGCAGCAAATGAAAGCAAATACATGTCAGGCAGTAGGTTTTAGCTCTCAGCCTCTGGGATCAGGACTTGAATTTGCAGATTGATCTAGGACCAAAATGATTGCACTCTGTGTATCGGTCACATTGTTGTTTTAGTGACTGACTAGCAATAATTCACAACTTGCTGTTTTGTCTTTGATCTCAGTGATCACCACTGTTAGCAGCATTTACTACTGTGTGGTGAAGAGGATGAAAGAGATGCTAGTGTGTTCATGTAATGATGTTGACACCTGCTTTTTTCTACATGTAGCAGGGATCCAGTGCATCACAGCTGCAACACCTTGCCTTCTGCCTGCATGGCCATTTTCACACTGTTTCTGTCTGTCTTGTAGCCTTCCCAATGCTGGATTGGATGCAGAGTGCCTTTCAAAGCCAACAAATACCAATGGCTTAAAGGAACACAATAATAGCTCATAAACTTTTCCCCAGAACACAAAGGGGATTATTACAATACAAATAGGTCACTCTGAGCTGCAGTCCACTCCTGTAAAACCCAGTATTTCTGTGCCCCTTCACAAAAGCTTGACCAAACTTCAGTCATAGGGAAAAAGAGGGCCTTGCTGCATTTTGCAAATTAGACTGTTATTTAATTGCTTTTTGGAGTAACTGTTAGCGTTCCTTTGCCTACCTGGCTTGTGTTTTTCAGGTGGATCTTATGTAGGCATTTGCTCTGAGCAGACAGAGATAAACCTCATGCCCTGTGACCCAGGGTGGGAGCAGGCAGCTACAGACATGGATAAGTCTCCAGAAGGAATGTACTTAAAGATGCTGGAATCCAGGTGATGTATGAAAAAGTCTTTACAATAACAGTTCATAGATGAAGCATCCCTTAAACATCGTGGAACTGACTTCCATTTCAGTTCTCAGGGGACATTATTTAGGGAGTCTTGATGGGAATGGTCCATGCACAGTTTCAGGCAGGTGGAGCATCTCGTAGTTAATCTCCCACCTGCCAAGGGCAGGAGTCAAAGGTTGAGCTGGGGTGTCTCCACTCTTTGAAAAGCAAAATGTATGGCTAATGTGTTTCCTCCATTACTACAGCTTTATTCAGAGCAGTGCACTGTGCGAACCAAGGACAAGCAAGGCATTGATGACTCACATCACTGAACAACCTGTAGCTTTTTTCAGTGAGGCTGTGCTGGAACCAGGAACCTGCTTTAACTCTGCCGTCTTTCAGCCCAGAGAAGCAGCAAGCAGTATTGACGCTGGCCCCCAGCTGGATAACTTTGTTGTGTGCTCTTGTGGGTCCCTTATCTTCCCAGGTGAACGTCTGGCCATGTGGCAGGCCCCTCCCAGCACCACAGGAGTCTCCAGCTCCATGTGGACCCCAAATGTAGAAGGTTAGTAAAAATTAACCCAGACTATGGCCCTTAAGAGTTTTTCCAGGCTTCTCCTCCCTTTGCTGAAAACATGCTTTATTACATGGCTTTCCCACATCATGACAAACGGGAGGAGGGTGTATCTTCAGCTCCCATAACAGCATAGGAAACCTGTTGATTTAAGGTGCTGAACCAGACATTCTTGCCTACTATCTTGCTAAGACTGTAACTCCTTCCTAAGATAGTGCTTTTCCAGCAAGGTGGACTCCTTTTAGCTTTTCCATTGGAAGGGTCCCTTCAGGTGCTGTCTGCTCACCTTGTCAGTTAGCAGGCTTCTGGGTTTTTAAACCCCTGACAATTCTTCAGAGGCAAGTGCTGATTGCCTGAGCAGATGCTGGAAGCATGGTGCTCATCTTCAGCAACACTTTCTCACTTGCCTTTCTTCTTCCTGCTTTTCTCTCTCCCTCTCTGTTTCCTTCCTATCCTGTCTTGTTCAGCATTCCCACCATCTCTTTTCTTGTCCCTGTTCTTCAGAATGGCCTTGATACGATACATAACATGTGCTTTTGCTATAGGTCTACAGAGTGGAAGGTGCTGTGACTGCTATTTGCACAACCTCTGGTGAATGCACAGCAAAGGGGGGGACTAGCTGGGTCAGAGGTTGAGGTCATGTTATCTGTAATTGTCTTTAATACGAACATTTATTTCAGCAGGTGTAAGAGCTCCCTTAAGCAGAGTCTCTCAAGGTGGTTTTATTGAGGCCAGTTCAGGAAGAATCATTCGGCAGTCAGATTTAGAGGTTGAAAACTTCACCCTTAGAGAAGGACAGCTAGGGACCCTGGAGGCTATTCTTCCCCACAGGTAAAGGAGTGGAAAGCACAGGGCTTCTCAAAGGCAGGACTAACAATGATTGTTGTGAATCTAGCCTTGTCCTGATTCCCCTATTAAAGAGGGCTGCAGAAAGTGTGGTAATGCATCTCATTCCAGGGGCCTGACTCTCCGCTTGTCCTCATCAGATTCTAAAGATATTTTTATCTGTGTGCTGGAAATGGGAAATGCTGCATAAACGTGTGTGTGTTTTACAGCGTGGTTAGTACAAAGGAGATTCAGGGCCAGCATCGCAAACCCCTCTCTTTAAAGCAGGTTTGGCATCTAAGCCATTTGCCTGTTTTTCTTTTTGGCAGAAAATCATAACTTACACTGATCTCTGCAAGAGCTGACCCTGCAGGCTGGGTTGGTAGGGCCTGTACTTAATCCTAAAATAGTTTTTTGTAGCTTCATAACCTCATGACAAGATTATTCCGTAGTGCAAGCTTTCCGAATTGAAGACAGAAAGACAGGCACTGTTCTGCCTTTTTGTTTTCCACCTGTACCGAATGTTTCAGACAGCAGGTTTTCTCTGGGACTTGAGATAAATTCACAGAATGCAAAACAACAAAAATCCGTGCCATCTTCCATGTGTTACACAACTTCCATAATGTTACATAAAAATAAACACTGCAAAACAGACATTATAAAGTTCCTTTAATCTGCTGATCTGCAAGACAGATCAGGAGTAGTAGTACCATTTTGTAACCCTTCTGCTTGACCCTGTCCAGCATTTGTGCTAGCATAACCCTGTCAATAATGTGTCAAAGAGGTAGGCAGAAGAAGCAGTTTTATTCCAGTTTTGCAGATGAGGAAGCAGAGGCAGGGAGAGGCTTTGTGGCTTGTCAAAGCAACAAGGGAAGGCAGTGATTCACTGGAGATAGTGATCAGTAGATTTTTTTGCCTCCCAGTTAGTTCCCTGCTATAAACATTTCTGCCTTTTACCTCTGTTTCCCAGTTGGCTTGGTGCCTACAGTTGTTCACATTCATGTCAGACTCCCTCCTCAGAATTGCTGGGGTGAACCCAGGTCTAGGTATTGTGAGCCCACCTCAGCCTGTGTTTTGGGATTTGCAGTTTTAAACTGTGGCTAAGGATTATGAAAGATGAGTGAGGAATTGCTGGCAATATTTTGGCTGGATGTAAAATTGCATGTTCTGACTCTAGAGTGAGCTCATGTTTATTTTTAAAGTATGTTCCACCACTAGAAGAAATCTATGGTGAATGTCTCCTTGTTGGGTATGTCAGTTGTGCCAGGAATCCATACACCCTTTATCATATTCCTGGCAGGGGCAGGACTTGCTGCTTCATCGACACCTTCTGGTGAGGATACAGTTATTTGAACTCTGTAGACCCTACTTAGTTTAGTGGCCTGGTCCATCTCCCCTCAGAACCTTGAACTCCCCAAAATACCATGCATGGTATGGACCTTAAATCTTTTCAGGAGTGAGTGAGGCTTAGGCTGCAATCTTACCCGGGCCTTTTTGCAATTTCTCTCTAGAGAGCCAGCAGACCTTGGGTGGGATGTCTTGGGTGAGATCACTGTGCAGTGATGGGCAATGAGTGAGGATCACCTCTGTTATCAAGCAGTGCCCTCTAACAGGCTTACTGGATTAAAGAGGAGTATTGTGTCACCCGAGTCATCTTTAGCAGCAGTGTTGCAATGAGCATCACTCATCTGGGGACTTAAGAAGGAGTCAACAGCTTAATCTGTGAGGCAGATGAGTGGTATTATCTTAGAAAGACAGGGCAGTGAAACTATCCATGCTTTGGTGATAAAAGTAAAGCTGAGAGAAGGAAATTATTTATCCAGGGTCACCCATCTGGAGTGGACTTCTGCTGTGATAGTCGCTGCCTATATCGGTCTGCTTGTAGGTGCCAGGGTAGAGCTGCAAGTCAGCCAAAGGAACCTTGATCTGCATGTCTCGTTTTAAAGGTGCTCACCTGGAAAGGACTTGCCTTGAAAGCTTATTAGACCAATTTTGGTTTATTTCTTTTATGGGCTTTTTCCAGTTGGTCCTACGCACTTGGGCTGTATCCAAACCTCTCACGCTCCACAGGGCTGTGAGGTGGGAGTGTGAGGGGGAGCCAGGCTGGGAGCTGACTGTCTCCATCTGCTCCTGCTGCCTGACAGGAGGGTGTGATCCAGCTAGTGAACTGGAGGGCCCTGTGGGGCATCAAACAGATGCTTGCCTCTACAGATAGTGTTGTTTTATCCTCTTCATTCTTCTGGTTGGGACAGGTGGAATGTAGCCTGGCTAATGGTTCGTGCAGAATATGGCTCTCCTGTGCCTCACTTTTCAAGCAGAAAAGCACACTGAACTTTATAGAGCAAGACAGACTGCGTTTATGAGCCAGCTTATTGATTTAGAAAATACCAGTGCTGGGATGTTTGTTGCAGCTTACCAATTCTTCCTGTGCTTTGCAATGCCAGCTCAGTACAGTAGGAATCTCCTGCCATTAGGCTCGCGCCCCAGATAACCCCACTGCGCGTGACACTGGCAGGCAGCAAGTTTCAAATGTGCAAAAGGAGGCTACTTTTGGGCATGTTGCATAATTAAATCACAGAATTTGTTGCTAAGGGTGTTGTGCATGTCAAAGTGTAAGTGGGCAATGATAAAGGATGAGAGGAATTTGTGGGGGTAGGGGCTGAGTCTGTTTGTCATTAGTAAATGTAATTGCATGAATGCAGCCTCCAGCAAAGGAATCCCGAGACTGATTGCTGAAACCTGGAGGGGATCCCAAGGAAGGGCAACTTGACAAGAAACAGCCCTGTTCCTTGTACTTTTTTCCCAAGTTCTATTAGTTGATTCCTTTAGTTTGGGCTTGTATGGCTGTTCATACCCTGGGGTATTCCTGGCAGTGGTATGGGCAGTGTTGTTGGAGTACAGATATGGAGTTGGTGACAAAGGGCATCCCATCGTCGAGTACCCAGTGTCTCCTACTTGGCGCAGTGCCTGCAGACTCTTTTCAGACGTTGGCAGAGCCCCTGGGGAGGTGTGGATGGGGAAGCCATGTCCCCAGACTGTCAGCTGATGGCCTTGAAAAGCTATAGTAGAATTACAGCTAATGTTGTGGCTATGTCTGAAGCCACCTTCGGATGTTTTGACTCTGAGGACCTCTGTGTTTTTAAAATATGTTCCAGGAGAAAGACATTTTGGTAGACATCTCTCTGTTTATGCAGAGTGTTCTAGGGGCATAAGGCAAGTTGCAAATGGAGATGTCAGTCCTGTATACTGCTCCTGGTCAGGCTAGTCCTCCCATTGCACAATCTGTTTTTTCGGTCTGTGACAATCTGAAGAAATGACACAGGTTTGTAGTCAACAGAACTCATTATCTTTTCAATGAATAGTCTTGTCAGCAGCCCCTCTCATCCTGCTGCCAGACTGCAGTAAGTGGTAAGTAGGGCATAAATACAAATGCATTTGTAAATCATCTTTTTTTCTTCCAGTTCCCATCAGACTGTGGCTGGCAAGCCTCAGTGCCCACCTGTTTCTGCACCCTGCATGGAAGAAAGCCAAGCCATGGGACAAGGCCAGGTAAGAGAACTGCACCTACGTTCAGAGAAGGTAGCTCAGCCACACGCACCTTCCTGCTGTAGCATTCTCGCAGGAGATGTGAAATCTCACATCATATATTGTATGAAACGTACATGATCTAAGCATATCTTTGGAATCAGTAAGCTTGGCATTCTCTGAGTACCATCCAGCAGATGCTGGGATGCTAGGAGAAGAGGTTTTTTTTTGCTTTTGCCACTTGAATTGCTTATCAGACCTTGATTTTTACTAAACACGTCATTGCAGTGATGGCCAAATCAACCTTTGTAGATCCAAAGCATCATTTAAATTCTGAGCAACGGAGGGTTCACCTAGCACTGTGAATTCAAACTATGCCTTCTTTTGGTGCCTTTAAGGCAGCAGAGCATAGAAACTAGAAATGTTCTGCTTTCAAGGGAATGGGAGCACATCTATGAATTAACTGTTACTCAAGGAAAGCCCTATCTACACTGTAGCTTAAGCTATTCGTAAAGTTTATTTTTTGGCTTCAAATCTATTGGTCTACCAATGAGTTAGCATCTGTTTCTGTTTCTCCTGCAATGTCAGCTGCTGGAGAAAACCTTTTTGAAAGAGATTTTGAAAAGCAGGAGACCATCTCTTCTGGCCTCATTATGGGAAGCGGCATGCAGCTCTCAGGGCAGTAACAGAACCTCTTTTGAGCCTTTGAAAGCATCAATATAAAGATCCGTATCTTGGAAAGTGGCCTTTTTACCAGCCATAATGGGAGCCAGATGAGTAGGAAAGCTTTGGGCATTAATAATGAATGAGCCTTTTCTAAGATTTCCAGAGTATGCAGTCTCTGTAGCTAGTGTTTTCCTCTTGCTATTTTGGATTTAGGCACTGATTTTGTGATTGCATAGAAACATGACACTAGGTGTAATATGGTATGGGAAACAAGATACCATGTGATGCCTGCAGATGTCAGAAGGCAACATCTTCAAATCTTTGTAATAGTTATTCAGTTCAGGAATTCAGAAGAGCAATTTTTATTTTTTTTTTGCAAATTTTAATATGTGCTGTAGGAAAAGGAGGAGCTTGAATGGGTAAATGTTTTTATGGCATTCCACAGGCTTCCTGGATGCTCTGTTTCTTACAGGATCACCCAAGGATGGATTCCCTGGGCTTGTTGCAGGGATATACAACATGTGGTTTCCATGTCTGAACCACAGCTGTGCAAATGTACACTCCCTGTGCCACACATGACTTTCAATTTGTTCTTTGTGGGTCATATATTTCATCAAAATTAAAAGGAGAGTAAAACAAAACAACTACAAAAAACAGTTAACAGATTTTGGAGATGTTCCTTCCCCTTCATGAATAGAACTCCCTTGTCCAGGTGATCATTCCCTCCTTAATTAGTTCATCCTGTTTTTGCCCTCCACTGTTTACTTGCTTTTATAGAAACCAATGTCTTGGGCAGAAGGAAGGCAGTTGCTTTTCTCTGAATTGCGAAGGGTCGAATTGCACACAGATTGTGCTCGCCGTTTTACACCCATGTCCTGTACATATGGATTACTCCACCTCACTTCACGCACACAAGCCTTCACTACTGACATTCCTTCCCCTCTCACAGTCTTGTGCCACTGTACAATCTGCCCTAAAGAGCAATTCCACAGTGAGCAACTGCATTGTTAAAGTTCATATGTGGTGAAGCTTTCATTCCTCTCCCGTGTCTTTCAGGTGCTGGAGGATCCAGTTGGTGACCCATTAGCCGATGATACATTCTGGGCAGCACAGCTGCTCTTTCGAATTCTCAGCTGGGGGACAAATGTGACCTGCCTACAGTGATGCTCAATGTGGTCTGCACTTCTCCAGGAAACACCCTATTCTTTCCTGTTTTTCTCTCATTAATTTTTTAAAATGAATGAAGAGTTTGACATGGAGTTGAGGAACAGAAAGAATGAGGTAGATGGATGAAGGCCTTTTCCTAATAGTTATGCAGTTGGTTTTAGTTTTATGAAGAATTTTGCAAAGAATATAAGAAACCAAAGGTACATTGTGGATTGTAGGTTTTCACTAGAGCAGTCTGAATTTGCTCTGTGAACGTTAAAATATCAAGTCACTGATTCTGTGTTAGTTGCATAGTTCTACCTATAGCACTGGTCAGATAAGAGTCCTTCATTACACCATGCAGGCATATGAAACTCTACTCAGAAGGAATAAAATCTTAGTTACATTGCCTAACAGTTGGATATTGGATACGAGATAAAGGTTATCTCAGGCATGGAAAATAAGGACTCAGCTAAGTGCTGGTAAAACACTGCTGTTACTCATCTCTGCACTTCTGTTGTGCTGCTGGGCATCACTTTGAAATGTTCCATGCTCTATAGTGCTGTAGAAGACACAGGACTGGAGCATGGCAGAAATTACAGTGCTAGAGTTGCTGTTCTTGCAGGACTGGAAGGGGGGCATACAAGTGCATTGGTAGCTAACGCTGCCTGCATCTGATTGCCTGCAAAAGGCGGATAAATGGTGGGAGCCTCTTGAGCCGTTTCAGTTCCCAGATCTGGATGGGCTGAAATTGCACAGGCAATTGTGTCACCCTTCAGGCTGGTCTGCGGCAGTGTGACGCTCAGCAGCAGCAGGTGAGCGCATCCTATTTGCCCTGCAACGCAGTGTGAGCTGCGCGAGGCGTCTTTGAGCAGGGGCTAAAGCTGTATTTGGCTGAAGGCTACTTACTCCACAGGGGTAGGAAGTTCCAAGTGCGACCCACCTGGGAAATGTGCACAATTCTTTACTTTTTGCCCAGTGCTTTTCCGTGTTTAACCCAGCCTGGAGGCCTCCTGTCACACTCACTGCCTTGTGCTGCTCACAGATCAGGAGCCCTGTTCCTTTTCTTTCACTTTCAGACTAAGAAGTAGAATTGTGTATGAATAGCAAAGCAGGCTTAAAATTTCTGCTGTAAGTCATCGGGCAGTCTTTTTGGTACTTTCTGTAACTATTACTGGTATTTTTTAAATAGCAAGGTATTGTGAAAGGGGTAATCTTTGTCAAATCTACTGCTCTGAGATGAACAAAGTAGATGCCTCCAGAACTGTTTGTAATAGTTGTCAAATAAAGGTTATGAATGACTCTTTCTCAAGGGTTCATCTTCAAGGTAAGAGTATGAGGTGATTAGTTCACACACGGTATTTCTTAAACCCCCCAGCACTTGGGCTGTGATCCCTGATATTCTAGAGCTCCTTTCTCTGGATCTGGCTTTAAATGCCCTTTTCCTGGTGGATGCTTGTGCTCAGAACACTGGTGAGGGGAATGCTTATGTGTACGTTCACACTTTTGTCTCCTTAAACAATGGGGCTTTGCGCGAGCCGGGGCTGGCACGCGGGGCGGAAAGGCTGGGCGACCTCAACCCGTGAGGGCTGTGCTGTCCCTGCCCTGCCAGCCCCGCTGGGTGCCTCCATTTTAACGCTCTGTCCCTCGCCACCCTTCCCCTGCCCTGCAGCAGGGCCTCCCGGCTCCGCCGCTCCCCGGCCGCTTGCGCCAAGCCGGGGCTCGCTGAGGCGCCCTGAGCCCGCCACGCTGCTCCCGCCGCCATGGCGGCCGCGGGCCGGCTTCCCGCTTCCTCCCCATTGGCCGCCCTGCCCGCCGCGCCCGTAGCAACAGCGACAAATTTATCTCCCCGCCTCCTGATTGGCTGCCGCCTCCCGCCGAGCCATAGCAACAGCGGAGCGGGCGCGCGGCGACCGTTGGCGGCCGGGGCGGGGCGGGGGGGGAAGGGGGCAGTGAGCGGGGCCGACCCGCCTGAGGGGACGGCGGGGCCGAGGCCGGGGCTGCTGAGGGGAGGCCGGAGGTGCTGGCGCCATCCCAGCCCCGCCGAGTAAAATCCGTCCCCTAGGGCTTGGCTCTGCGGTGGGCAAGAGCTGCGGCTTCTCTGCTTGCGTGTGGTTGAAAGAGTAAGGCGCGGCCGTGCGCCTAGCAGCGAGGCGTGCCTGAGGGAGCCCCCGTGAGCAGCCCTCACACAGGGATCCTGACAGACTTTTGTGTGAGGTGCCGCATAAGGTACTTTGTTTCTCCCCGTAATGACAGGGCACGTCACTGCCGTTATTATGACTGAGCTAGTCATTCGTGTATGAGAATATATGAGGATGAAAGCCTGTGTTTTATGCTTCCCTGCTGTTGAAGATTGATACATTCAAGTACAGGAGTGATGCTACTACGTATTTGAAAGCAAATTAAAATACATCTCCTTTTGAGACGTATTTCCATTTGCTTTCAGATACGTAGTGCTGTTGCCTGTCAGGAAGATGATGCGGATTAGCTGAACACTTCTCCACCTGTGCAGAAACTTCAGACACCTGTCACAATTTAATAGTTCATTTTCTAAAGAAACAGCCCATGCTAGGGAATGCAGATGTTTTGGCATTTGGAGATAACTGACCTTTGTTTTACTGCCTTACCAATACCTCTGTCCTTAGGCCTTAGTTTCTAAATAGTTCAAGACCACAGGCGTTTTGACTGTTTAATTTTAAAGAGGTGTCACTCTAGCACCATTCCGAAGAAGCGCTAGAACAAGTATCCTCACCAAGCTTACCTCTGAGCCAGGCTTTGCAGCTGAAGCAGAATAACAGCTTTTTCTCATACTTCATTTAATGAGTTTCATTTCCAGATTTGGCACTGTTGCTCTCTGGAGGACAATTGAATTTTCTAGGTCATTTCCCATATGAAATAACTTATTACTTCTTTGTAAACTTATATTAGATGAGTCAAAGTTTGATATGTGAAATCCAGCAAATTAAAAGTATTTCTTTAAGAGATGTAAAGCCGAGTGGATGAAGTACGGTGTATTCTAGCCCAACCACATCTTTGCCACATACCACCTGGGTATAGAATCTGCACAGAATACTTTTGAGGAGTTAGCTGTGTTTGGATGAGAATTTGCCACCTGTACCTGCAGGCGATCTCAAAAAATCTGACCAAGCAGAGTTACAGGCAGCTGAGCAGAGTTCAGAGGTAGGCTGCTGCTTCCCTGCCTGTCAGCAAGCACAGGCTGGCTGTATAGCCAGTGTGGCAGAGGAATCTGCTGAGCACTGGTGCCACTTAGCATCTGGCCTCCTCTGCCGCCGGGTCTGGGTGGAGTTGGTCCTTTGAGGGACAGCAGGGTTCTTCACATTGTATTTACACTGTGCCATCATTTGAATGGTTCGGTTTGTGTATTACCTTGCTCTTATTTCCTAGTGGTGATCTGTATCCCCATCATGATCCAGATTGCCTATTCTGCCATATGTAGCAAGCTCTGGATGTGTTTATGTTGTTCTTCTGTGGAGCTGTAATTAGAAGTACTCTGAGCATGTGACTGACCTTCCCTGAACTGAATGTGCTGTACCTGCTGTTGTCATTCCTCCTCCTCCTCAACATGGCATGCCCTAGCAAAGAAAGGAGCTTGCCCTAGATAGAAAAAGCAAAGATATTTTTAATTTCAAAATTCATAAAAGGGCCCAAAGAACAGTGCTCACATGAGCTAATTGGTCACAGAAGGGGGATGGAGATCTGGGAGCATTTTCAGAAGTTCTGTTAATCAGCTGCCTCAGAGGTGAGGACACCGTCCCAGCGGGCAGCTTTCCTCTTGGCACTTTGGCGGATGGGCCCTAAGCCTGGTGAGGTCAGACTGAGCTGATGCCTGTCAGCAGATTCTGAGCTACAAGTGTGGTATAGAAGTGGCAGCACAGAGGACCTGCGTTGCAGCTGCCTGTGAATGACTTCTCTGAACTAATCCACTACAGTGCTAATGAGGATTAATGACATGAGCAGTAGTTTTCCCCGCTCTCATCCCCTTTGACAGCCCCTGCCTGCTCTCATAGTTATTGAATGGGCTCATCTGAGGCCCACAAATGCCAGGAGAGACAACTCCAAGGCCAGTAATTTCAGGAACTCTCTTCTGGGTGCCTGGCTCAACTTGCTTAGGGCCTCGTTTTCAGACAAAGTGAGCAATTATGCAGGGGCTCAAGTAGGGCACCCAGAATAAGAGGCCACTTTTGCAAATGTTGGCAAAGGCATTATGTTTTATCTCTGCACTTCATGAATCTTATCCCCAAAGTCTTTTGTGTTATGTTCTGCAGTGAAAGGTCATTGTTTCAGATCAATCATTTTCAGTAGCATTTAATCCATTTTTATGTCAAGATAATCCACTTTGGTAAAGTTCGAAGTAGAGTAAAAATTAATTTATCAAGGAAGATCTGGGCTTATTTTTGAAATGGGTTTGCTGATGCTGAATCTTTGAATTGCGTATGGTGAGGTCTTGGGGGTGGTTCCAGAAGTGATGGACATCTGAATTCTGATCTTATCTCTGTGTTGCAAATGATCAGCACCTCTGAAAAGCCCAGGGATTTAGCAGGATATTTATTTATTTATTTATTTATTTATTTATTTATTTATTTATTTATTTTGACTTTCAGCATTTACTTAGTATGGGTGCCTTTTTCTCTTTCAAGTAGGGCCTTCTTTTTAGTATGGCGCTGTGGTGAAGGCTTCTGATAAGTAGGCTTTTTCATGTTTCCCTGTTTATGCTTGTAAATTCTGCTTACTTCCCTTTACGTAAAGGACAAAAATACATTCTTGTATCTGCATAGGACTGGCAAAAACTGTAGTCTGAAACAGCTCATGAAGAGTTAAAGCTGCTTTCAGTTAGCTCCTGTGTTCTTGCCACTTACAGAAACCCCCACAACTGAGCATGCTTCAACCTCCTGTGCATATCCCTGAATCATTCTGGCAAGTAAAAACACTGCCATAATCTTTTATTCAGACATAGTGCTCATTCTTCACTGGACTCTGAAATGAGCAAATGCTTGGAAATAGCACATTTTGCCAAAGAGTTCTGAGGATTTATCATCATGTCTGCACAGGGCATGCAGAACATGCAAAAAGCGACTGAGTAGGAATGCTGAGTGATACTAAAGACACTATCAAAAAACAGGTTTGGGTTAACCTCTCTCTCTCCTTGATGGCATGAGAGTTTCACAGGTTTTGTACAAATTGCTGCTCTTTTGTTTTAGGGCTCTCCTGTTGGTGAATAGATGTATAATATACAACAATTCACAGCATGAACCCCATTGCTTCTGAGCAGCACTGAGGCAGCGTAATCTTTCTCCCTTCATTCTAGCTTTTACCTTTGAGTTATGAGGTAGGTTCTGTGAGAATGATTGAAGATTAATACGAAATTGAAATATGACAAGTAGTAGAATATTTTTACACACACTGTGACAGCCTAGAGGGTTCTGTTGCTTGTTAAACTGTGGTGTATGGTTTGGCCAGAAATATATCACTGAAATTATAGTCTCTTGTGGTTTGGGAAAGAATCATCACACTTCAGCTACACCCACTCCTATCTTCTGCTCTGATCTTGTCATTGGTTACAACACCTTCCCTCCCTGATGTGCACTTATCTCACTTCATTGCGGGGATGTGCTGCCAGGCTTCTAACAATAAAAAATATGGATAGTCCTGAGCCTGTGAAACAATCTGTCCTTACAGCACTATTTGAACATCGTGCCCCCATGTAAGTGCCAGCCCCACCATTTCCAAGATCAGATGCTCACAGATTCTCCATCTTTGTCTGCTGTCCCCATCTCTACTGCTTTTACTGTGATGTGGAAACCGGTTAAACTCCCACTTCAGTTTGTGGTTGCCTCTGCTCTCTCAGTTTTTCAGTGTCTTGTCCCCAAGGCTGTATCATTTAGCAGTTCCCTAAATAAAACATTCCTATGCTGCAGAAGAAGAGAGGGGAGATGACTTGCTGCCGGAACGAGGTGGATGTTAGTGGCAGTACCACTGCTTTAGTTCCATGTCTTGGGAAGAATGCATGCAGCAAAAGGCGTGTGCTCCCCCCTTCAGCTCAGCAACCGAAGGGGGAGGCTTTGGGCAGCGGTGTAGGGCCGGGAAGACTCTGGTATGCTGTCTAGTCGTTCCCCCATCACATTTCCTTTCCATCAGTGTGCCCTGTAGCTCAATCCCCTCAGCTAAGCATCAGCCCTGGGAGACTCCCTCCGAGACGGTTTGGCTGTCCCCGATGCCCCTGCGTGGAGCCGCGCAGTGAACTGGAACGGCATTTCAGCAGGGAGCTATTTGCGGAACGTCGGTGCTGCCCAATAATCAGATAT